TTGGACCCCCTGGAAGCCCCCCCGGCCATCTGAGAGAGGTCCTTGCGAGCAGGGGGGCTGCCTGTAATGACAGGTTGTCCCTCTGCTGGCTGAAAATAAAATTAAATAAAATAAATTAAAAAGTAAAGTGTAAAAAAATTACATACATACATACATACATACATACATATACATACATACATACACACACTGTCTAGGTGTATTTTACTTTTATATATATTAATATCAAATTACACGTAGACTGATACTGATTAAATATATATAATTATTGTTATATATATTTATATATAATATAAAAAAATTAAATATGTAAATACGTTAAAAAATAAAATTAAAAAAAATAATTAAAAAATATATAGATGTGTGTTATTTCGTTCTAACTGTTTTGTGATATTAATATATATATTTATATCAAAATACACGTAGAACGAAATAATATATATATATATATATAAATAAAAATATTTTTAAAAAAATTATATATACACATATAGATTCACATACATACAATATATATATATATATATATATACACACACATATATATATATATATATATACATACACACACACACATATATATATATATATACACACACACACACACACACACACACACACATATATATTAATTCTACATATATATTTATGTAATATTTTACATAATTAGGTATCTTAATTAATTACAATTAGCGGGACCTGCCTGACAACCCATGCCGAAAATAAATGGAATTTAATTTGCTAGCACTATATTTAACCCTATAACTTTCCAAGACACCATAAAACCTGTACATGGGGGGTACTGTTCTACTCAGGAGACTTCGCTGAACACAAATATTAGTGTTTCAAAACAGTAAAATGTATTACAACGATGATATCGCCAGTAAAAGTGGCGTTTTTTGCATTTTACACGGACGATATTATTGCTGTGATACTTTTTACTGTTTTGAAACACAAATATTTGTGTTCAGCGAAGTCTCCCGAGTACAACAGTACCCCTCATGTACAGGTTTTATGGTGTTTTCAAAAGTTACAGCGTCAAATATAAGAATTGCGTTTCATTTTTTTTCACATTAAAATTTGCCAGATTGGTTACGTTGCCTTTGAGACCCTATGGTAGCCCAAGAATGAAAATTACCCCTATGATGGCATACCATTTGCAATAGTAGACAACCCAAGGTATTGCAAACGGGGTATGTCCAGTCTTTTTTAGTAGCCACTTAGTCACAAACACTGGGCAAAATTGGCGTTTTTTGAAATTTTCACACCCAAACAAATATTAACGCTAACTTTGGCCAGTGTTTGTGACCAAATGGCTACTAAAAAAGACTGGACATACCCCATTTGCAATACCTTGGGTTGTCTGCTATTGCAAATGGTATGCCATTATGGGTGTAAATTTCATTCCCGGGCTACTATACAGTCTCAAAGGCAACGTAACCAATCTGGCGAATTTCAATTTCAAATGTAACGTGCTATATTTGACCCTGCAACTTCCCAAAACGCCATAAAACCTGTACATAGGGGGTACTGTCTTACACGTGAGACTTTGCTGAATACAAATATGTGTATTTTATTGCAGTAAAAGCAAACCGTATTATGACATTGACAGTTAAAATGTCATGTAGAACTAAAAAAATCTTATTTTCTCCCATTTTTTTTTATATTAAATTATGTTTCATAGCTAAATAATTGATATTAAATGAAAGCCCTGTTTCCCCTGAATAAAATGATATATAATAAGGGTGGGTGCATTTACTATGAAAGAGGTGTATTACGGTTGGACAGACATGTAGCGCAAATGCCAGGTTTTGTTTACATTTTGTTTCGTTCACAACGTGTACATTTGGCTCCGTCCTTAAGGGGTTAATTGGTTAAATCTGCAGATTTTGACAGCTGAATTTGCTGTTTTGCAACATTCTGAGAGTGCCCCATTACATTGTCTTTTATGCTGCTGGATTTAGCCCTATATCTGTAATCAGAATCCCCACAGAATATATTAATTTAAAGGAACAATGCAGGTTAGTAACACAAACATTTATTCCTGACCCTACTGCAAAAAGCCTGAAGAGAATGCTTCTATTCACCAGAACAAACACAATAAGCTGTAGTTGTTCAGGTGACTATAGTGTCCCTTTAACTCCTTAACATTGTTAGGGCGTACTATGCCGCCCCTCACTTAGTGAGCCTAAACGCCGTTAGGGAGGCATAGTATGCCCTAACGATCGTTCGCCCACCTGTCCCTGTGAACTTACCTGGACCGGCGATACCCGAGACAGGCAGTACCCCTGCTTTTTTTCCAGCCCTCCAGGACCATGTGATTTTGACAGACGTCACAAATCACATGGCCGCAAAGCTGTCTATGAGACTGCCTGAGTGCTCAGGCAGTCCCACTAGTGCCTGAAAATTAAAATAAAGTTAGTAAAACACATTCAAACACTATATTATACATGTATAATATATGACAAGGTAATTAAAACACCTGATTAGCATATTATACATTAGATGGTTTTATTTTAGTTAACCTAGAATACATTATAAAATGTACATAAAAGAATGTAATGTCATAAGCGCATCTATATATTCTACATGTATGTACGTGTATATACATACATATTATATATATATTTTCAACATTTATATTTATCTACTATATTTACATAATTTTATTAATTATAATTTAAGGGACCTGCCTGACAACCCAGAAAGAAAATCCATTGAATTTAATTTACAAGCCCTATATTTAACCCTGTACATGTGGGGTACTGTTGTACTTGTGAGAATTTGCTGAACACAAATATAAGTGTTTTAAAACACAAACTTGTAATAATGATATCATCAGCGAAAGTGCAGTTTTTTTGTGAAAAATGCAAAAAAATAAAGTTAAAACTAAATTTGGATAGCGTTTGTGACTAAGTGGCTCCTACAAAAGACTGGACATACCAGATTTTGAATACCCTTGGTTGTCTACTTTTGTGAATGATATGCTATGATGGGGGTAATTCTCATTCCTGGGCTGCCATATGGTCTCAAAGGCAATGTAGGTCACCTAACCAATCTGGCAAACTGAAATGGAAAAGCACTATATTTGTCCCTGTAACCTTCCAAAACCACATAAAACCTGTACACGGGGAGTACTGTTGTACTCGTAAGACATGGCTGAACACAAATATGAGTGTTTTAGTGCAGTAAAACTTAAAATGACAATGCTCGCATCAGTGAAAGGGCATTTTGTTTGTGAAAAATGCAAAATAACTAATATAAATGCTAATTTTGGCCAGAGTTTGTGACTAAGAGGCTAAAAAAAAAGACTGGACATATCCCATTTTGAATACCCTGGGTTGTCTACTTTGGCAAATGGTATGCCATGATGTGGGTAAGACTCATTCCTTGGCTGTCATACAGTCTCAAAGTAACCAATCTGGCAAATGTGTAAACAATTAAAATGGGCAAGCTCTATATTTGACCCTGTAACTTTCCAAAACTTCATAAAACCTGTAGATGCGGGACAGGACACAATTTTTTTTCCCTATTTTAGTCATCCACAGAATCCTAATGACAACTTTACTATTAAATAACCGATTACCTGTTATTCAAAGAGTTTTATCTATATCATCATATGCCCTTGTGGCCTCTTATGTAGGAAGGACCATTCGTACTTTGAATGTTCATATCCAAGAACACGTTAGAAATATAAGAAATGGGTTTGTCACTGCACTTCAAAAATGTCCATAATAAATATCCTAGTCACCTTAAATTTATGGGAATTCAACAAATTTTACCAAATTGGAAAGGTGACGATCTAATTAGAAAAATGGGCCAAACGGAAATGAGGTGGATTGTTAACTTGAACACAATGCTATCTCAATCTTAACAGTGACTTTGAACTTTGTCATTTCTTATAATTTTCTATGGATTATTTTTTTATGCACTAAATATATTTTAATATACTTTATTTGTGTATTATATAAAAGTATATGTATAGGATTCTCAAAAATTTTAGTACTCTTATATTTTAAAGTATATTACCATGTATTTCATTTTCCCTTCATTTTTGTGGCCATTTGTGAGTATTTTTAGATTATTTGTCCCCGATATATAGAACCACTATGATGGACTGATATGGATATATTCGATGGATGTGGCATGAAGTTTGCCACATCACACCCATATAACTGATTCTTCTACCGTTTCCAGAAGACTTTCCCTCTTCAAAGATGGCGGAACGGCAGCCGGAAGGGACGCAACGCAGGTGTCGTCGCTTCACTTCCAGCTCAGGTGATTCCGATCGGCGAGAAGATTACACCATCAGCAGAATGGAGAATTGGCGAAAGGTCCCTGGAATTGACCAATAAGGTGAAGACTTGACATTTAAAAAGCTGGACTTGGCAGTGATTATACCAAATGAAAAAGCAGCTATACGAGCAAAACACATCTTGGGAGCTCCATTATAAGGACTTTGTTTTATATATTGTTTTTATAACCCTTCCTGGAGACTCCACTCTGCTACCTTTAGTCCTGTTACAAAGCAGGGTTCTGTGTCCCCTTTGACACACACGCCTACAAGTATAATAGGCTCTGGAAAAGGTGAGCAGTTTGCAAGCTCATATATTTGCACTTTTATAATATTGGCTTAGTGCACTAGATTTTCTCTTCCACTTTTTGTGTTGCAAGTAGATCTGGATTAAGAGGAAATGTATCACCATAGAAAACACCTACTCAAGTGGTCTGAGCCTTTCCTATGGGGCTCAGTTAAAGGTGATTGCACCACTACTGAGACATCTTTTGTATAAATACTACACTATACAAGTGTTTTGTTATTATAGGATACTATATAGTAAGTGATAAAATTCTTAGCGCTCCACCGTTTCACTGGGGTGGGTACATACACCGCACAGTGAAGGTTTTTTTGGTTATATTTGCTGTGAATTTGAGGGAGATTCCCATATAGGTGGTAGCAACTCACCCACTAAATATTATCTTGCCTATTGTTTAAATGCCTATTACACAGACTTACCATTTTTTTTTACATGCAGAATACGGTTTTACTCATGAGACATCACTGAACACAAATATGTGTTTTATAGCAGTAAAATGTATAAGAGTGATGATATAATCAAAGTGTAAAAAAACGAATATGAACGCTAACTTTGGCCAGAGTTTGTGACCAAGTGGCTACTACCAAATACTGAATATACCCCATTTTGAATACTCTGGGCAGTCTTTTACAAAATGGTATGCCATGCTAGGGTTAAAGGACCACTATAGGCACCCAGACCACTTCAGCTTAAAGAAGTGGTCTGGGTGCCAGGTCCAGCTAGGTTTAACCGTTTTTTTCTATAAACATAGCAGTTTCAGAGAAACTACTATGTTTATATTAGGATTAATCCAGCCTCTAGGGGCTGTCTCGTTTAGAGCCGCTAGAGGGCTTCCGCGCTTCTCACTGTGATTTTCACAGTGAGAAGATGCCAGCGTCCATAGGAAAGCATTGTGAATGCTTTCCTAAGAGAAGGGCTGAATGCGCGTGCGGCTCTTGCCCCGCATGTGCATTCAGCCGAGGACGGGGAGAGTCCCCCGTGCGGCGCTGGAGAAAGAGGTACGTTTAACCCTTTCCTCCCCCGAGTGCCCAGCGGGGGCACCCTCAGGGCACTATAGTGCCAGCAAAACGAGTATGTTTTCCTGGCACTATAGTCGTCCTTTAATTTTCATTCTTGGACTGCCATACAGTACCAAAGGCATCATAGGCCCAGCAAAATGTAAAAGGGAAAGCCCTATATTATTTGAAAATAATAAAAAAATGGTATGTGAGCACTCCAAAAAAATAAAATAATGACCACTAAAACACTGTACACCAAAGCAGCAGCCGTAGTTGGGGACCAAACTAAATTTAATAACACTCAGTATGAATGTATACAAATCACTAAGAATGTATTCAGAGTATATAAAACATTTATTAAACATAAAAGAAAATAACATATGAATCAAAATTATAGCAATAAAATGTATCACATGAATAAAGACACCAAAAGTCCAGAGCAAATGTTTAAGAAGTAAGCACAGTGTGGGGCCCCTTACACTGATTAAATAGCCACTGGAACTAGAAATGTGCACATATAAAAAGTAATATATAAAAATGAAGGTAGAAAAAAAAAACTGGAAAACAATACCCAGACTCATACACTATCTCTGCTGGAGGGAGCTCATAAACCAGCCAAACCACCTGGTCAGGACTAAGGGAGTTGCAGTGAGAATATCCCAGAGTAAAAAATACTCTGGGGGTCAGCCAGAGCAACTTACCCTGTTCGTCCGACCTTCAGGTAAGGTGATGGGAGCACGCCAACTCCTGGACACGAGAAGTGCAGAGGATACCGATCCCGCCAAAAACAGCTACCGAAAATCACTCCCGGACCGTAAATGGAGGACCAGGTTGGAGATACAGTAAAGAGAATAGGATAAAAACATGTCTACACGTTTCGTCCTTACTAAAGGACTTTCTCAAAACAAAGTTCTACTATCCAGGGGCAAGGTATATATACACATCCCCTCTCTTAAAATGGTCATAAATCAATTAACAAATTAATTCCAAATTACATTACAATCAAAGTGAAAGAAAAAATAAATAAGTTAATTAAAAGCATAAAATGGTTAAATCATTACTATTTCTATAATATATCGGAAACCAATAAAAATATATAAACATACACGTGTGTTAAACAAAAAAAATTTACATACACACACACACACACACACACACACACACACACACACACCTTCTTCCTGTCATAAGCATGGCCTCTAAAATTTAGATTAATAAATGCCAATAAAATGGCTTAGAGAGGGAGAACTCACTCTCAGTAAAAGAGTCATGCAATTAACCTGAAAAAACAGATATTAAAATGTATAAATATAATAAAGCATAACCATATAACAATCAAATATCTCCAAAATAATAATTGAGGCGTCCAAACAAAAGATGGACGACATATGGGCATATAGCAATGGGGCCAAAATTATCTTTATAATTTTAAACACTTTCTTCGGACTGATAAATTAGTATGTATGACTTAAAGAATGAAAGTTAATTTAAATAATAAAAAAATATATAAAAAATAAAAAATAAACAAACACCAAATTAACAAAATGAGGTACAGATTAAATTCCAAAAATATCAATGAAAGGTATTTTATGCATCTCTAAATAAGATCCCCCGCTCTTAATATATGCATAGCCCTCAAAAAGGAACTATACATAGTATAGATGGACTCAACCAATTAAAATATATTTAACAATACAGGTATAAGCAAAAAACTAAAATCAAACAAAACAAGAAAGTGTCTATTGATATAATAATCATATTTGGACAATAGTAAACAAATCTAAGTATTTGCTAAATAAATATTGGGTCTAGATCCCTGCTCCCCCATAAGATGTCCTAACTTAAAAAAAAAAGCACTCTAACACAAAATAAATCTTCAAAGGAGAAAACTAAATAGGTGGCTCCTAAGGAAATTAAAAATAACAGAACACACAAATAAATGGCAGATCTTAAATATTACATTCCACTTCTTCATTTAACCTATGAGGAGTGAGAGTATTAAGCCCGAAGATCCATTTGGTTTCAGCAGTAATCAGAGCTAAATTCCTTTTATAAAAGTCTTCTCAGAAATATGCTCAATACCCATTACTATATGAGCAGGATTACTCTCATGGGCCATTTGAAAATGTCTAGCCACCGAAGATCTCCTATCTTGATTGGTGATGGCTAGCCTATGTTCCCTAAACCTGGCTTTTAGAGGTCTGACCTACATACAGTAAGCCACACGTACACTTTTATAAATACACAACAAATGAAGTGTTACAGGTTATTCTAGTGGACACCTGAAAGCTCTCATTATTGGAAGATGAGCAAAAAGTTCAACCTCCCATGACATATATATTGACACGTAAGGCACCGTGTGGCACCACACTTAAAATTCCCCACTCCACCTAACGCTGATGTATTAGGGGTTTCAATAAACGAAAGTTTAGAGGGGACTAACAAATTCTTCAAATTCCTATTTTTGCGTAAGATCACCCTAGGTAATTCAGGAATACTAAATTTAAGCCATGGATCCAGCCGGAGAATCGACCAATGCTTCTGCAATATCGAAATTATCTGGTTATAGGCCCTATTGAAAATCATAGAAAAAAAAAAAAAATAGGACCTTTATTCTGAGCGACATCGCTGGTACTGATAAAATCGTTCCTAGATGTACATCTTTTTATAGGGTGATTTTCCAATAATGATAGAATCTCCATATGTTTAACTGAAGGAGGAGGTGACAAATCTTAGAATGGGGATCAATTAGAGAACTTCTATTAAGCTTTCTAGCCTTGTGGTAGGCCTGGCTGATGATAGTCAGATCATAATCCTTATCTAGAAAACGCTGACATAAGTCCAAAGTCTCCCCTTCAAAATTCTCCAAAAGGGAACAGTTGCGGTGCAATCTCGTGAATTGACCAAACGGGATATTGTTGATCCACGTTGGATGATGACCGCTGGTTGAATGCAGGAATCCATTAACGTCCACCTGTTTTTTTTTGTTTTTTAGTTTTGTTGAGAACAACCTGGTCTACCACATAGAACTAGGTCAAGAAATTCAATAGTGGTTCTATTCTTATTACTCATAAAAGAAAGCCCCCATTCATTGTTATTAAGACCTTGGACAAATTCCTCAGCTTCATTTAAATCACCCTCCCAGATAATCAGAATATCATCTATGAAGCACTTGTAAAATTTGAGATGTCCCTTCCAAGTGGGGTTAAAGATGTGGATGGATTCCCACAGACCCATAAAGATGTTAGCATATGCCGGGGCAAAGCTAGCCCCCATTGCCGTCCTCTTCTACCTGCAGGTAAAATTGCCCATTAAAACAAAAATAATTATGGGTCAGAATGAATAATATACTCTCTACAATTGCTTCAACTTGGGATAATGGAAGAAGAGAGTCCTCCAAAAGAAAATGCTTAACTGCTTTCAAACCTAAATGATGATCAATGTTGGAATAAAGGGCCGCCACATCGATGGTTAACCAACAAAAATTATCCTGCCACGTGAGGTCTTGCATCAATGATAACACATGTCCTGTGTCTTTAATATACGAAGGCAGATGAATCATGATTTTTTTTGTAGGCGAGTATCTACCCATTTGGATAATGGTGCAGTAAGAGAACCAATAGATGAAATGATGGGTCTCCCCGGCGGATTGGTAAGCGACTAGTGGATTTCGGGACCGTCCACGCTCCTCCCCCGCCGGCAGGGGAGACCTCTCAATGCCGCGTGCGCATTATACCTCTCCATAAGAAAGAATTGAATATGCTCTCTTTTTATTTTAGTTATTTATTAGATTTTATACAAAATATAACAATCATTCGCTCTCTGCGAGCGTGGTGCATACAACAAACAAACATTTATAAAATCTAGTTATAAACCGCATTTATGCCTTTCATTATGTTACTATATTATCATTATACATAATCAATTTGTTAAAAAAAATAAATAAAACAAAACAAAACAAAAAAAAAATTTCCTTATAAAATTCCAGGATGTTTTACCTTTCCCCAAGAGTACATTTAGGGCACCCAGTACTTGGATTATGTTGGATTAACCAAGTGTGATGTATGCGATATGTGTTGTTATGAATGTCCGTGTGTGGATGAGTGAAACATTTTCGGTCTTAATATGGGAGAAAAACTAAATAGATATCGACAACGGTTAGATTTGTTTCAGTAAACGCACAAGGCCTTAATTGCCATGTTAAAAGAGGTATGCTATTTGACACCTTGATCAGAGAAAAAATAAATAAATCCAAGTGGGCTTCATCCAAGAGACCCACTGGATTGCTGATTCAAAGCAAAAATGGTATTTTTAAAAATACCCAAAAATCTATGAGGCTTCTGTGCAAAAGAAAATGAAATGTGGTGTATCATCTTTTCTAAAGAGGTTCAATTTGACTGTCAGTATGTGAATCTAGATTCTGAAGGCAGATTTATTATTTTAGTTGGCCTTTTAGATGGAGTAGATTATACATTAGTAAACGTCTATTTACCCAATAAAAATCCATTGTATACTTTATCCCATAAAGGATAAGCAAGTTTGCCCCGGTCAAGCGATTGATCAAAACGTAATAAGACAAGCAGCATCGATGAACATAACCATTAAAAAATTTTGAATTATACGACTGCTGGAGATTTAATCCTAATGATAGAGTATACTCAAATCCATTCTGCATAAATCAGCAGCTAGAATCGATATGATCTTAGGTGATATTAAACTTTCAAATGTTATTATTTCTGTTATCAAAAACAATACGTGGTCAGATCATGACCTAGTGATAATGTAAATAGAAGATAAAAATAAAAGACCTCCTATGATCTGGAAACTAGATGACATGCTATTGAAGAACAAAATTAATATCGATATTACAAATTTAATAGATCTTTTCTTTAAAGAAAACTTAACTGCAGAACTAGCTAAGGAATGTGTCTGGTGCGCTTTTAAAATAGTAATAAGGGGATACTTTACTAAAATAGCTAGTCAAAACAAACATATGAGAGAGTCTAAGCTCTCAGAGCTCTATATTGAATTCTAGAACTTATCCATAGCAAACAAACAATTTTTCATCTGAAAGAGCAAATAAAGGAAATTCAACAAAAGATTAATAAAAAAAAAAATCTCTGAAAGGATAGAAAATAACTTCAATAAGCTAAACATCAAAATCTATTACAAGACTAATAAAGTAGATGCTATGCTCAACAAATTAAAAAAAAAAAAATTTGGAAAAGAAAGTTTTCAAACTAGTGGTAGATGATAAAAAAAATATAGCAAACAGCTTCAGAGACTTTTTATAAGAAATTGTATAATTTAAATTTTAGTCCGAATAAAGAACAAGTAGAGGATTATTTAAGTAACGTTAAATTACCTAAAATATCGTTAGCTCAAAAAAAAAAAAAAAAAAATTCCAAAATAAGATCATATCTACTGTAGAAGTGGAATTAGCAATAAACAATCTTGTAAATAGAAAAGCTCCGGGGCCTGATGGTTATACTAATTTATTTTATAAAAGCTTCAGAAGTCAAATTATTCGCATGCGGACAGTCACTTTTAATGAAATTGCGAGCAAAAGCCAAGCCTCTTATGATTTACTTAGAGCTCACGTCTCCCCGATATTGAAGCCAGGAAAATCCCCAACGGATCTTCATAACTATAGGCCAATCTCTTTAAATGAATGTGGACGCTAAATTATTTGCCACTATATTAGCGGCCAGATTACAAAGAATTCTTCCATCCATTATTCAACCTGATCAGATTGGTTTCATTTCGGGGAGACAATCCAGTAACAATTGCCGACGAATGTTGGAGATTCTGGATTGGGCCCCAACATACCAGAATGCCCCTTCTGACCCTGTCGATAGATGCAGAGAAAGCCTTTGACAGGGTCAGTTGGGGCTTCCTTAGTAGGTCTCTATCACATTTTGGATTTGAAGGCTGGTTCACGGGAGCCTTATACTCTAATCCCACTGCAAAGATAATGGGCCAGGATTTATGTTCGGATTGGTTTAAAAATCCAATCCAAGGGCTGCCCATTATCACCTTTGTTATATGTGTTATCAATTGAGCCATTTGCTTATAAAATTCAACAAAATAGGGAAATAAAAGGGATACCGGTTGCTGGTGGTTTATTAAAGAATTTTGATGCAAGAGTTATAAAAATTTAGCCTGATAAACTATAAATTAAATGTTAATAAATCAATAGCGTTCGTAAAGAACATACAAGATACGACCCTACACATAATGAAACAATCATAAATTTTATTGGACCACGAAAGAAGTGAGCTATCTTGGTCTAATCTTGACAGTGGACCCTAGAAGGTGCATGGAAGTAAATTTCATGAGACTTCTAAAATAAACTAATAGATTATTAAGGGAATGGATATCTTATGAGATTTCATGGTGGAGGAAGTGCGAATAACATCAAAGCTTATTTTATTACCAAAATGGACCTATTTGTTCCATATGATTCCCTTGCTATCCCCACACTGGCTCAATATGGTCCAAAATAGCTTTACAAATTTTATATGGAGCGGGAAAAGGCCAAGGATCAATAAAACTTTCCTATCAAAAAAAGGAAGGAATGGAGGAATCGGTTATCCACTGATAAAGCAATCATATCAGGCTAATATGATAATACAAGCCACCAACCTTCAAAGGACTGATCTGAGGGACCAACCTTGGTATAAATTAGAAAACACATTTTCTAGAACCATTGTTATGGACAAAATAATCTAGAACCATTGTTATGGAATCAATAAGAACAAAAGATAAAGAGTATAACATAATATAATGTTACTATAATATTCTTCCAAACACTAAAAGAATGGAATAATCTAAAAAAGAAATTTATATTGAAAATTTAATTCCCTACACCTTATCATTACAATCTTTGGAAGAGATGATGACACAAATTGACCTAAAAAAAATAAATAATTTGGCATAACAACGATCGGCTTAATGTTGTATTCAACGACAGACAGCTGAAAAATTATGCTGAACTTTCCACCCTACTTGATTTGCCCTCAAAAGAAATTTACGAATAAAGTTTTTTGAAAGAGCATATTATGAATAGAGATGATACATTGGGAGGTTTAATTAAAGATATCCTATCGGTTAAATCCTCTAAATATATTTATGCTAAAGCAATGGAAGCAATAAAAACAGCTATTCGTCCTAATATCCCAACGTTGTTTATGAAATGGGAATCTGATCTATCCTTGGATATACAGCATGATTTATGGTGTCAGGCATTTAATAAACTTTAAAAAAAATATATCCATGGTTTAAACATTTTAGAAACTTTCCTAAAACTATCTTTTAGATGGTATTTAGTACTGATAAGACTTAAAATCTCACCAAGCAATCCTCCTAATTGCTGGAGATGCTTTCACATAGAAGGCTCATTATTACACAAAAGTTGGAAACAAATTATTCCATTGAACTCACTGTTTAAAAAGAAAGTGTTAAAACAACTAGATATGGAAATTGGAGTTATACAATTTCATTCTTATACCAATCGTAAATTGTTTGAGATATATAAAAGCCTAGTAACAGATATCAAAAGGTAAGGATAGATTACTGAAATAATATTCCAACCTAAAGGCAATATTATCAAGTATAGATTACGAGAATTGCTGGTATATTTATATTTCTTTGATCAATTGATCATGAATAAGTACAGATTACTTACCAATTAATAAGGTGAGGGAATGTACAGTATATATCTAGAGAATTTATTCTTTTTCTTTTCTTGTTTAATTCTTAAACCATGTATTTTTTGACCTTGTAAGATGAATTGAAAAGTCATAGATCGATACTTTAATAATCCCCATAACGAAGTACTAATAGAGTAAACTCAATAGACCGAAATTGTGTGTGAATAAAATGTATGATTAGGATAATAGTAATATAACAGCATTAAAAATGCTTTCCTATGGGGAATTGAGCGACGCTGGAGGTCCTCACACAGCGTGAAAACCTGTGTCAGAAACCAGGAAGTGCCCTCTATTGGCTGTCTAGTAGCCAGCCACTAGAGGTGGAGTTAACCCTGCAATGTAATTATTGCAGTTTATGAAAACTGCAATATTTACAGCTGCAGGGTTAAGGGTAGTGGGAGCTGGCACCCAGACCACGCCAATGGGCAGAAGTGGCCTGGGTGCCTGGAGTGTCCCTTGTCAGGATATTTATAAAAAAAAAAAAAAAGGTAGACATTTTGTGCTAAGAAAGAAATTAAAAGTGCATATTGCCAGAGTCACTCAGAACAGAGCGGACTCCATTTTTGCTATCTTCAGGATAACAAAAACACAGTTTCTTCTTATTTTCTGTAACTAGCCACTTTTTGAGCTAAGGAATGTATTACATAAACAACAAAGTGATAAGCAATTAAGCAGGGAGGTGGAAGGCTCTGTTTAAATGTTAATGGAATAGATGCATTATATAAAAAACACAGACACTAGTGACAGAGAAGACCAAGTAATTAATTTTCCTTTCTAAATTTTCCAAGGTTCCATTGTAAGTAAGGGGTGAAATTGAGTTTAGAATTGTCAATTTTACAAATTACGATCAAAGTAGTTGCCACAAAGACTGAGACAAACGCTTTGAACTGACAGCAAATCTAAGTTATGGTAGTCATTTTAGATAAGCCAAATGACATCAAAATCGTCATCAGGAAAAGTTAACTCTTTCCTGGATAGGAAGGTTTAGTGAGACGAGACTGCCCTCTATGGACCAAATACCTAAATTGCCATCCATAGATTGAACACATCTACAGTTTCCTATTGGCTTATCAACTAATGGCGTACAGAGAGTCTGGCCCTTTAAGAGTTAGGACAAAGGGAAGAGAGAGAGGTTAGTTGGCAGAGAGAGGGAGTTGAAGTTTGGGGATTCCAATTCGGACATGCGGAGAAAGACTCAAGAAACATTCTCTGGGACTAACACTCTACTCTTAAACGCTCTTGGACACTCAACTCTTAAACACTTTTTACTCTGACTTTCTAACCAACACCACTTTTCTCTATTACTCACGCACCTCCATACAACCAATCAAGTTCCTGGGACTACCTACTCATCTGATGAGAATATCTACATAACTGGTAATTATGCTGGTTTTATTTAATTAATTTAAATTAATTAAAATTTACTAATAGCATGATATATGACTGGATAAATCATGGTCAGATTTCAATATTTAGAAATCTTAGTTAACTAAAGAATATATAGTTATAAACATTCCATTCTGCAGGTGGAATTAAGAATAATTATATATTAATGTGATAGTATCACATGATAGCATAGCACTGTTTTTATCCAGGTGTATTATTTGCTCTAAAATAAGATCTTTATAGGCAAATTAAAATTCGGCTTATAGAATCTGGTAGATTATTCTTATTGGATGGTTCCAGGAAATGACTAATGAGCTGGTCTGAATGTTATTTTAATTGAAAATTACATGAGAATAGGATACTATATGCCTAGGAGGATCTAGCCAGCATTGAAAGGGTTACTCAGTTGATTTAACTGTTAGCCAAGGTTTTACTCTATGTGAAGTTTGCTTTCTGTTTCTGCGAAATACCTCATAAATCTTAAGTGACAGATGATGCTGTTAGCCAGTGGAACGTGTATAGCCATTCCATTGTATTGCATACTTATGTTATACTAAAGATTCACTAATTAATATCATGCATGCTGCCTAATATTATTTATTAATTACAATAAATCAATTTTTATAATAGATTGTGATTTTATTGCATGGAATACATTTCACTTATTTGATAAACGATCTCTAAGATCTAAGAGAATTGAAATAGTGGGCAATTCTTGACTGCTTAATATTATCATCCCATAAATATCCCCACACCCTTTAAGCACAGAAGACTTTAATTCTTCTTGTTATTGGAGGTTGAGATATTTACAGGCTTATTTGCTAAACTCAGATTTTACTCAAGTTATATCCAAACAAAGATAAAGCAACAATAGCCGATCTCTGCCATAGTTAGTTATTTTTGCCATCTAGATTAAAAAAAACAAAAACAAACAAAACAAAACACACCACAACTGCAATTTTGGTAATAATCCTTCTGGTGTTCAGAGCTGTTTAAGTGATAAGCATGCACAGAAGACTACATTTGTGTCAGGGACAGAGGGTACATTTTTATCAGAGACAACTGTTGAAAAAAAAAAAAAAAATAAAAAAATAAAAAAAAAAGTCACTTTCAGTTTAGCCATCTGTGATGCATATGAATTGTTTTGAATAGACTTAAAAATACAGGACAATTCGAGGGGTGGGGCACGGCAACATCCCTGCGAGCCTTGTATTTGCCAACATTTGAAAAAGATTTCCAGGGACACTTTGCAGCACAGCTATCGAATACTACCTTGAAAAGTTACCACAGCCACACGATGTCCAACCCACATAATTAATGTCCGCATACTTATTACAGGGTCTACTCAAAGAGAATTACAGGGAATTGATAGATATGGAAATATTAAAGTTAAGGCCAAAGTAGCGGAGTTGGAAAAATTCTCCCATTCAGCTGCACTATTTCGACCTAAAGTTTGAAATTCCTCTCAATTCCCTGCAATTCTCTTTATTGAATAGACTTTATAACACCAAGTTCCCACTAACAGTGCCATGCATACTTGGTGTGCGATAGATACATTTGCAGCACAGCATCTATATCAAGCAGGTACATTTTATCACGTTTAGGTGAGTTGGGTATCATTGGTGACACTGTCAGTACAAGTACAAATATGGAAAGACCTTGTGCAGATGTGCTTCAGTCAGAGTTGTATCTACCATATAGAACATACATTAGTTCACAAACATACAAGCTCAGACAACTTCAGCAGACTGAATGCATGCTGCAGTTTATGTGTTTGTGTGTAGAGGTGCCGAGTGTGTGAAAGGTGCAGTGTGTTCGAAGGGTGAGGGGCTGTTTATCAGAGGTGCCGAGTGTGTGAGAGGAGCTTTGTGTCAGGGGTGCTGTGCCATGGTGGTGGTGAGTTGTCTATAGCCTGCAGCTCCTCTGGCTGCAGGCTGTTTTCACTTCTCCCACGAGCAGAATGCTGTGTCTGAGCATTGCCATGGTAACACTCTGCACAACATGCTCACAGGAGGAGTGCTCTGCCTCCCAGATCCTCCCCATCACTAACAAAAGGTCCTTTGGACAGGTGAAGGAAATCTGATGTCCTTACCGGCCCGAGAGGGCCCCCCACCCCCAAAGAGGCAGGTCTCCTGTCGGCCTGGGCACACTGGCATCACAGTGAAGCCCCCGGGCAACTGCCCAGCTCACTGACATACACACAAGGCTGAGTATATCAAGCCTACCTGGCACTGTAGGCTGTTGCTGGGAGGTCAAGAAGCCATCTTGGGCCTTTCTCCTGCAGTAAGGTCTGCTGCTTCGCAGGGGTGGAGCTTTCATGTGATAGGCATAGCCAACATACATATGCAGAGCAGGAGTCTGGCAGGGACGCTGCTGGGAATTCGGAAGAGAGACTGTCAGTGTTCCCACTGGCCCCAGCAGCCTCCAGCACCTCCCTCAGACCATAAACAGGCTCTTACAGTCTGAGGTAAAAATAATGAAAGCACATGGCCTAGTAAGTTGCCAGGACTGTCCCGGCAGAGTAGATTGCCTGAGAGACTCCAGCTTGCCAAGACTATACTGGCAAAAACAGGACAGTTGGCAACCATGCATGCTAGCAGGCTGCATGAGAGATGAGCCTGCACAGAGAGGCCCAATTTGCCGATAACCAAAACATTAGCTATCCAGCGACAGATCATAATCTACAGGAGCTGGGTATATACCCGAAAAAGTGATTTTGTAGATCTTTAGATCTTGTAACAGAGGCCTACTCTGACAGTGAGCAAGGTGGATGGCTGCTACCCTGCTCTTTTGCCCAGGGGGTAAAGAGGCTCTAAATCCTGCTAGCCACGTTTCAGCGCCCTTTGGAGCGGTGGGGGTTATGCCGTTCCCCACTGGTGAAGGTGTTGCTCTCACCTGAAGAAAAAAGTAAAGTGTACACAGGTACTTTACTGCTTTACAAGTTGGCAGTGTGACATGTAGCCACTTCAACCCTGCAACTAGCCGATGACAAACCCGACCAGCTGTTCAAACGCTTCTGGGAGATGCTGCATCAGCGAGCAAAAGCACACTTACATCAACAAGCTGGAGACCAGCACCCCTGCAACAATTACATTTTTCCCTCCAGTTACTGGGTGGCAGAAGAGCCTTCCCAGGGTGGATATTACCACAGAGGCACCCACTGGGATGTTTCCTGGTGGGCTGCAGCGCTGGGCGAATGGCTCGAGATGCCCAGATCTTCCAGGTGCACGAAGTTAGGGGTACTTAGAGAAGCCCTGTCACAGGGGGCCCAGGAGATGGCCATTTGGCCTCCCCCAAAGCAGTCTTTTTTGGTATGGCAGAGCATGCACCCGCTTACCGAGATGGCAGGTGTCTGCTCTGCAGATGGATGCAGGAAGGGGTGGCAAGAGATTCTGTTCCTGTAGCTTCTCACTCCTCCCTTGCTCTGATGCCAGGATGTCATTCCAGCATACTAAACACTGGATCCCAGGGAAGTTGAATGGACCTCAAAATTGTGCAAATCTTATAAAATAGGTTCACCAAATGCATGGAATACATTTTCACAGCGATAAATTATGTATTCAATGCGAGCATTAGGCAGTATGTGTATATTAGGCAGGCCTAACTGATAACCATATAGCAAAGTTTAGACCAAAATGGCTAATCTAGAAGACTTCTCCAGTTTGGCTACACAGACATAGTTCAGTTTCTTAAACTTTACAGTTTATTTTTCAATTCACTGCAATTCAGAATTTGGCAAGAAATCCTTGCACTGGCTCTGCAGAGGCATCAGCAATGTCCGAAGCTGCAGCTTCTCTGGACGTAGGCCCCAGAATGTATTAATGTTTGGGACAGTGGAACTGAAGTACATGTTCCTGTGAGGGCCAGAGGCTGGCATGATGTGGTTCCGGGGTTCTCATGGGGCTCCTGTGAACAGAGCAACACCTATGTTCCCATCAGGGGATAGACTGATAGTCACCATGTTGCTGCCTGTTTGACAGGCTCTATATATGCACCTGTTTTACCCGCTTTGTGCCCGTCTGTACATAGTGCCACTGATTTGCAGTTAAATTACTTCTATGCCAACTTCCTGAGCAGCAGGCCCCCAGGGGGCTTATATACACACACTAAGTCATGTTAATGGTTAGCCTAATAGGTCTACATCCATTTATGTTTTTTCAAGCGGATCTACAATTGTCTTTTATATAATGCCATCAGTTAACACTGAGAGGCAGAGCCAGTACAATGCAAACATCCTCAGAGAGAAGTTGAATCAATGAATCTCTGAGGAAAGTTCAGTGTCTGCATGCAGATGGAGGAGATACTGAATGTTTGGATGCATTTTAGGCAGCCATGACCCAGGAAGGATCTCTAACAGCCATCTAAGAAGAAGTGGCCAGTGAAGTTATCACTAGGCTGTAATGTAAACACTGCATTTTCTCTGAAAAGACAGGGTTTACAGCAAAAAGCCTGAAGGTAATGATTCTACTCACCAGAACAAATTCAGTAAGCTGTAGTTCTGACTAGTGTCCCTTTAAGATTTATACACCATAAATTGCCACTATGACCACTGCAAAACAAATAGATGTTAAATCAAAAAAAAAAAAAATTTTTTAAAAAGTGCTTGTCCTGTCTCATGTACGTCTGTTGCATTTATCTGCAATACAAGTTTGTATGTCTATGCAAAAATAGAAATGCCAAGACAAGTTATACTTCAAGGAAAAGCCTTGAGAGATGGGGTACCCCATGGCAAGAAATATAAAAACAAGCAGGGTGATTCACAAACATGAAAGCTGTATGGAATTTATGTACAGTTAACTGAATTGGAAGCAAAACCATGAAGGTTTGTCAGTTTTTACTTTGTTGCCATTTCCAATACAGTTTACTTTAGTAATAAACTAGGATTAAGTCTTATCCTCTACCATAAAACCAGTGGCATGGCAAGCCTTTCAGGATTACATGCTTGAATCTACAGCAGAGTTTGAAGTTTATTCCCATAGCATTTTCAGACTGATGCATCCCACAGCTCATGGTTGATACAATTTGATAGTAAACAAAGTTATTGGATTACTCTGTTTTTAGAAGCAAACTAATTCAGAAAGACCACCACATTTAGTTTTTCCCGCCTAGAATTTCTTACCCTCATATCCTTGACAGTTATGGTTTCTTTGGCAAAAAGAAACCATCTTTATCTAAACCATACCCATGTTCAGTTCAAAGTTTATATCCTAGTAGAACCTCTAGAGTGGGAATGGACCCAAGCTATACAGAACATAAAATCACAATCACCACATATTTTGGTGAAATTAACACTTAGTTTAAATACATCTTTATTCAACTTTTTTTCCCATTTAACAGGTAAAATTATTTTTTTTTTTTTACAATAACTATTGTTCTAACAGACCAAATTCCTTATGGGTCTCTTCTCCTTTGCCTGCTATAAAAGCACTGCTACAGACAAACCCAGGGACAAAGTTAGTACAAAAAAATAAATAAAAAAAAATTAGATTATATATAGATAAGTTAGAATAAACACTTGTGTGGGGTAGCGGGGCTTGTATTACTGGATTAGAGATTAAAAGCTCAGGCACATGAATAGTGGACATTTAGTCAGAGTCACTGTATTCACCCCACAGGATTTCAACGTCAGGAAAACCCAAGTCCAGCTCAAAGTTATCTTCAATGAGGGCAAGTGTGAGCGCACAGTGGAGAAGATCTATGTCCTCCTCATCAGAGCAGTCTTCCTCAAATATCTCCACCATATGAGAGTAGGACTGAAAAAAATTAAAATAAAAAAATTTAAATTACAAGTGTTTCATACATGGTGTAAAGTCCTACATAGGTTGTAAAGAGTTACATGCCACTGCAAGCCTATAGTGTCCATGGCACATTCACCAGGGCTAAACTGCTAACCACCAATGGTTGCTTACTCCAGGCCTCCTGACGGTCCCAATTTAGGAGACCTGTTCTGCAGTCTTGATTTTTGTTCCAGAGTATGCATAGACATGCCCAGCCCTAGTTGTTGGGGTGTACATTGGGACGGACTTAAAGTAGATTTTTTAACTTATACAGTTAATATTTAGTGGATGTGTAGGTTGCTGTAAGTGATAAGTTTGGACCATTCTGAGTGATGCATGTGACAATGTGTGGGAAATTATGGAAGTTCCACAAGTTAAAAAAAAATAAAAAAAAATAAAAATAAAAAAAAACCCCACACCAGGGATATAGGATTTAGCTGCCCCACAGACCAATATAAAAGTGGAACCTCTGAAATCAGTCCCGAAGTGTTTGAGAACCAAACCAACATTTCCCAGAAGAACTAGTGTAAGATTGATAAATCCGTTCCAGACCCCCACCACCCCCTCCCCCCCAAAAGAAAAATAAAAAATTTTTTTACATTTATATGTATGCATTAAAAATGCAGAGGTCACTTGAATAAGCACCTTACATTTCAGTGGTTCCTGCCTTTCAACTTGCTAAAAGTTTACTGTTAGCCATTATTACCATTTATAATAATGGTCTGACTTGAAAATGAGACATGCTCTTTTGTATGTTTGGGTACTGAAGATCGTAGGCGTAACAACCCAATTTTTTTTACTTTTAAATTTTTGTTCGACTTCCAAATTGTTAGAGGATGTGATGGTTTGAGTTCCGAGGTTCCACTGTAGTTAGTGGGGAGTTGAGTTAAAGATATAGCTATTCTTAAAGAAAATTTAGAGTAGACAGAGTGCAGGCTAGAAGCAAGTCAAGTGCTCGTGGGCTGCACCACTTTGGCCACCTAGTAGGGAGCTCCCAGAATAAGGGAATAACCCTTCCATAGTACAAAAACGTGGGTGGCTTTACATCTCATGTAACATGGCTCAATGGTTTTTAAAATGCACGCCAGTTGATCAAGCGATACTGGTGGGCTGTATCATGCTCTGACGTGTTTCCACCCCCTCTGCACAACTGCTCACACTGGAAGATATACTCCACCCCCACCACTTGCTGTCATATCAGACAGGATTGGGGTAGTCCTGGCCTTGATAAGGGGTGTAACTTTGTCTGGGAAACAGACAAACAATATGGGCTGACATACCCGGTCCCAACGCCTCTAGAGCCAATCTCTATCTTGAGAACTGCATATACACACACACTGGCTAATGATTGCTGATGTGCTGGACAATCCAGGGCGGCATCATGCACAGGTAACCCACCCCTAGGAACCTCCCAAGTTAAAACATTTGTTGGTCTTATAAGTAACAAGGACTTAAGAATGACAAGATACTGCTCTTTGTTTTTATATCCATTCTTAGGCTTTACATGGGCCAAGGGATGGAAGGGTGACCCTGTCCATGTGCCCATGTTCACATCCCATATTTAGCTACTTCAGGAAGCGGTCCTCTGGCAGCAGAGGAAGCATGTCATTAGAAGCAATTACTATCAAATGTTCCCTCCAGTACCCACCCACTGGTGTGGATCTCATACCTCCCAATTTTTGAAGGTACGATACACCTTTATTCCAAGATTCTTGTGGACTTATTTCTGAATTAGAGATTACAAAACAAGTTACAAGTGCTTTAGAGGCAGATTAATGCTTAAATGTTCTGCATTTCTCAGATTACAAATAAAGTCAGTTTGCAGTTACCAGAGCAGTTGCACTGAGCCTGCGGTGTTCACGTCTCCTCCTCCTTTGATGTCCAGATGGTAGCTCATGACGATAGATACATTCTGATTTGAAGGGGCAATGGCCATTACCACGCACAAAGAAACGGCACCTAATTTTGCTGCAAGAGATTAACAGTTACCAAACTCAGCCTGATCTGATTAAGTCAATTTGACAATGACATCAGTTTTACAAGAGGTCTCAGCCATGGTCTAGAACCTATAAAACCCAATTGCTTAAGGCTTGGTTTTAGTAAAGTTCTGGAAGACAAATCCAAATGTAACAGGTACTTCTCACCTTGTCTTTGCCTTGAAGTTTTCTATAAGTTTTAGCTTCTCATCAGATTCACCAACCCAGTATTTGTGGGGAATGAAGTAACTTGACTTTACACGGCACTGGGGACAGCCTCTAGAGGGGAGACTATGTAGTTAGATTGGTAGAAATATATATAATACACACACGTCAAGCCATTGCAATGTGTTTAAAATTGTTTTGTTGTATAGAAATGTGATTATCTGGGTTTTCCTTTTGCAGTGAACTATATAGTTCAGAACACTCACTTAATAACTTCATTGTTGAAGTCTCTGGTTTTTCGCCAGCGCTTGATGCAGTCAACACAGTATGCATGGTTGCAGTTTGGCAAAATCCCAAATATACGTTCTGCCACCTGTTTGTCATACACCTTGTCCATGCAGATCCCACAAACCACATTTCGGCTACGTTCATACTGTAGTTCTGAAGCATCCTGAAATATGATAACATTTCTAGTAAGTGTGAAAATTAAAGAGATATATAATTTTATAGAAGAGTCCTAACTGTTTCAGACTGTAGAGTTTCCACTGTTCGGGCTCTTGCCTCTTCCTTGCATTTGTCATCTGAATGTTCCTCTTGAAGGGTGGGGCTAGACACTGACCTCACAAGGCCAGAGGCTGAGAAGAAAAAAAAAAAAAAAATTACAAAACGCAAAGCCACCCACAATAAATCTTTGTACCATTAGTTTTGGTGTCTTATAGTAGACGTCTAGAGAAGATAAGTGTGGTAGACACAAGCTATACCTGCATTTCTTGGTACAAATTCTGGAGCCAGCGCCCAGTCAGGTCTACCCAAGGAACGCAGGTGTCTTCCAGAACTTGCTCCAGCAGTCAGCCGATGAGGTACTGCTGGCTCAGATCCTCGGCGGCCAGGTAGAGAGTCATGAGAGTAGGGGAGGAGGCAAGGCTCAGAAACCCTACGACCTGCGTTGTGGGCAGGGGCATCAGAGGAACCATCAGCAGTGAGGTGCAGGAAACTGCAGAAGAAACATCAGATTAAAGAGACTAATAAAGCCGTTCCCTAATCTTTATAGTCAGAATAAAATTTACCGGGGAGTTTTATTTTTCTTGCTCCAGTCATTCTCTATTAGGATCAGTAACAACACTCCTATAGTGTGTCCACCAATGGCAATGCCGCAGTGATTTATTGGGCGTGCCTGAGCTTCACTCCGCTCAACACATGCCCACAATGTCTGCCTCATCTAAAGTCCTCAGCATTTAGACACTAGAACTTACAAGCCACATCACACCCACCAGATTAGGCATCATATCTAGGATTCGGGCTCTTTACATTTCTAATACATAGAGATTTGTGTTCTCTATAATCGGTCTCAGGAAGTTGATTAACAGGGACTGGCAGAGGAGGGGGTTAACACTTGGTAGGGTGGTTGGCTGACAGGGACCGAAAGAGAATGTATTACAGGAAGGGAGAGGAGCACTAGCTCCATTGCAGTCTGTGCTGTGAGCATTCCTTACACTAGATAAGACATGCCTCCATTTTCAGTGGCTGCAAAAGGTACGTCTGTCAGACTGGAAATCCAGAACATGCTGGATTGTGAGAGGGGGGCTAAATTACATTGCTGAAAACATTTTACAGCACTGCAGGAAAAAAAAAACTACACAGAATTGAAAGAAACTAACCAGTTAGTTTGAGCTTTGCTTTAATTTAAGCTGAACTTAAAAACACACACTACACTTTTTCCTGCCAGGGCCATGTAGGTTTTGATTTTAAAATAAACTGAAATGAACAAATTTTGATTTGTTACAAATGCAGGGCAAAGTGTGTGTAAATTTATATTAAAAACTATGGAGGATATGGTCTTTGTAAAGAAGTCCGAGAGAGACTATTCCACGTAGCCTTAGAAACCAAGTTGCCTTTTGGATGTTCTTGATAACGAAAGCAAAAAGGGGTTTTAATTTTCAGAGTTCTTTAGTTCAGTACATGAAACCGCTAGCTTCACATGAAGAGATCCGATTTCTTGGGTGCTCTTAGGATCTTGACAAGGGGGGCAAAATTATTTCCTGGTTCAGATTACTGATGTCATCTTGGGACAAGTAATCTTATGACCACTTTGTCCCAATAAAAAAAACAAAAAAAAAAACCCACAAGCAGGGTTCCACATGAGAAAGTGCCTGTACTTCTCCCAAACGTTTTGCTGTTGTATTGGCCACCAAAAAGATTGTCTCCCAAGTTAGTATGTTGATCAAAATGCTTGTTATTGGTTCAGCTTTAAATGATTGACACCTTCATAAAAACCTTGAAGAGGATTTGAGGAATAAAAGCAGATGTGGGACAATGGTTTGCACTAAACCAAGGAGATTTTTTATTTTTATTTTTTTTTTTTAATTCCAATTCTTGAGTAAGCTTTTGTTGTGGATTCCTTCTGATATTGGAGAGGAATCAGGACTACACTACTGTCCAAGAAGAGAAAAAGAGAAAACAAAAACTAAAATTTTCAACCCTCAATTACCCATCAAAAAAGGTAAGGATTTAGATTGCCATCAGCTTTCCCCTTTGTCTCTGGAATTTTTCCGTCTGCTTGCTGTATATCTCAGTTCAGATCACATGCCAAAGTATTTGTTCCTCTGATTTAAACTGCTGATAAAGAATGTTTGCAAGGGTCTCATACTGACCTTTGCCCCATGTGACAGCCAGAATAACTGAGGTCATTAAACAAAGGGCCATAATCGCCCCTCCCACTGCATAATTTATATTGCCCAGAAAATCTGAGTCGGTTTCTTCAGTGTTTCTGCTGGCAGGATCACTCATGAATGTAGAATCGATTAGACCCAAAAATTTAATTATTTTGACAGCAGTAAACAGATTTTTCTGCAGTTGATGATCCAGCTATGTTCTCCCAGACAGCAGTGTTGAAGTCCTGTAGAAGGTTTTGTTATTTTTAGGATTCTATTACCATCCAATTGTCTAAAGAATTAAAGGCCTCTTAGATGTGCCACCAAGACTTTGGTAGACACTCTTTAAGTCAAAGCATGGCTTGTACTGACTAAAGCAGCGCACCCCCTCTTTCCCCAATATCTTTTGCTCCGTCTATGGAGGATCCACACATGCATGAAAGTACAGCAGTGACAATTGCTCTCGGCGCTGAAGAGGATCAAGCAAAGGAATATTGTGGCACCCATGAGGAACATGTTCAGGCAAGTAAACTCAACATTCCGTGCCAGCCAACAGACCCCCGGGAGCGATGTCACCGTCAAAGACATTTTTTGCAGAATCACCAGACAGTGACACTAAGTACAAGTTTGCAGCTTCAGTTTCTTTACCTGCACTTTTCTCCATAGCCACAGAATCCATTCTGGAAGTGTCTACAGATCTGTGTAGGTTTCCTCTCATGAGAAAACTTGCAGTTTTGACCCCATCGACATGCACCCCTGCTGAATGCCCTGAAAGAAAGAGGCAAGATTTTTCTTTTTAAAGTAGTTACAGCCAACTCAAAAGTAACTCCAAGCAAGTCACAAGGACAGTCTATGTTGCACTCCCCATTGTTCAGCACTGCAGAATTTGGTTGGTTGCCATTGAGAATGGTGCACCAAACACTAAGAGAAAGCCAATTGTGATTAAGGCAGATGATAGCCAGGTCAGTGGTTTGCCTCAATTTCCCTCATTTGTATTTAAAGTTTTACTGCCTCCTTGTACTACCCAAAGTCTGCCCTCCCACTCTAGTGAGACAGAGTGATGTCCTTGGTAATTGCTGGACAATGTGCAGCATCTCCATGGAGTATGAACGTTTCCCATAAAGATGCATTGATTCAGTGCATTTGAGGAGATACCACTTGCCGCAGTGTGACTTGTTATGCATGCACAATAGCCTTAAAAAAAATAAAATAAACTTTTCCTATGGAAAAGCACGGACTGGCTGAAATATCATATTTGATGATCTCAAATGAGGCAACGTCGGCTGCTGCAGACTTGCACAGCTCTGGAATAAAGGAGAGTTCTCATGGTTTAACAATGGTAAGGATCTAAAGCTCTAAATAGTGTCACTGTAGTATCACAAATACAAGTTTATATTCCTGACACTATGGCATCACTTTAGTCAGCAAGAAGTCAAATAGAAGGTTTATAGCTTATGTCCTGAGAGTGTCTCCACCCTCAGGGTCCCCCTCCCGCTGGGCTCTGAAAAAAATAATAATAAATAAATAAAAAACCACACACCCCTACCTTTCAGCCAGTCTCATAGGAAAGCATTTACACTGATTTTCACAGTGAGAATCACACAAGTGCCTCTAGTGTCTGTCAATGAGAGCTGGATTAACCCTATTATAAAACATAGCAGTTTCTCTGAATGAGATAGATATATATTTAACCCTAGAGGGACCAGGCACCCAGACCACTTCATTAAGCTGGTGGTCTAGGTGCATAGAGCAGTCCTTTAAGGTCCCATATGGTCTTATCTGAAGGGGTTAAACAGTTCAGGCCTGCAAAACATCACAATTGCTTTGCCCCTTCACTTCCTATATAGTTTCAAGGCTTCAATCAGGACCAGGCACATATGATAGGCAATAATGCAGTTAAGGACCTCTGCTCAGGAGAAAAAAAAAAAACCCACACACCTTTAAGGACCACGGATGTACCGACACGTCTGCGGGGAATTAGAGTGCTGGATATACACATATCAAAATAAAGTCATATGCATATTATTTCAAATTCCTGGGCTACCATATGGTCTCAAAAATGCAACACAGACCCAGCACACCAATCTAGCAAACTGAATTGAGCAAGACCTATATTGACCCTGTGACAAATTTTTTTTTTTTTTTTTTTTAAAAAAAGAAGCCACACATGCTAACTTTGCAAGTGTTTGTGGTTAGGTTGCTACAACAAATTACTGGACGTATCCCATGTCAATACCTTGCGTTGTCTACTCTTACAAATGGTATTAAATTGCCAGGAGGTTATAGTTGTGATACCACAAGAGCCCCCTGTCCCAAGCGTTTTTATAGTGGGTTTACTCCTTACCAGGTGTCTGCCATCAGCTGCTCCCTGCCAACATTACAGCTTTCAGAAAGCCAGAAGCTCTTGCTCGGGTCTAAGCCCAGTAATTAATGTATTTGCTTGAGAGCCAACAGAAGCCCCTAAGCATTAGGTTTTAGAGGCACATTATAGTGTCAATAATACAAACATGTAATCATGACACCAGAAGTGGAAAACAAAAAAAAACACACATTTACAATTAAAGAACATACCTAGTTTCCAGCGGGTTTTGGTGCTGCAGGCCCAGTGCATCAATTCATCTCTAGGAGAAATGTTTAGCACTTCCATGCAGAGTCGCCTCTAATGGACATGTGAGTGACTGCTACTAGGTGTTCCTAAGCTTTAATAAAGTCACTTCCTTTTCTCTGAAAAGTCAGGGTTTGCATTAAAATGTTAAAGATACATTAGGGACAGTTATAGACACCAGAAATACTACATTAAACTGTAGTTCTGGTGACTATATATAGTGTTCCTTTTAGTTCATGACGGTCACAATATGACACAAATGAAAACAAAACTATCCTCAAGCTTAGCAGCTACAGTGTGGAGCAGGACACAAAGTCTTTCAACCCCATATCATGTCAGGGGGCCCCAAGGGATTAAAACACGAGTTCGTACCATAGTGACACGTGCTGCTAGTGTAAATAAAAACACAACGCGATGTTGGAAGAACAGTTTCTGCAGACATGTTTTCTAAAGGTTAATGACCTAATTTTACAAAACCATGCTAAAAATTCATATAGAGCACACATCCTGACAAAAAAAAAAAAAAAGTCGGACAATTTAAGGAGTTTGTTGTAGAGTTAAATCACAGTTTATGCATTTTGTCAACGGTAGGTTGTGGCTGACAGAGGCATAGATGGTGACATTTATAACGCTGTGCAATATTCACTGTATGTAGAAAAGTCAGACAAACCATAGCGTTTTGGGGGTTGTTTTTTTTGGCACCAAATCGCATGTAAGTTTATTTACACGTGCTGGACTCCTGCACACCAGAATGGTATACACACTCGAGCTCTGCCACAAATCATGCAACTACAAACTTGTTTCCCTATTAGTTTACAGCAAGTTACTTTATCACCTGGAATGCATGCATACTTACCTGCATGGCACCCTGATACTTGCCCCCCTGCCTGAAGCTGTAGCCATTTAAATCTCTGGAACTCGATAAAATGTAGACGCTATTGCAAGAGTTTATAAACACAAGTCAAACAAATCAGCCACGCCTACACCGTAGCTCAAAACAATGAGAGTGGAGGTGCAGGGAGTTACTCCCACTTAACAAGGTAAATGGATGCTTACTGGCAATGTGAAGAGAACACAAAATAAAAGAACAACGTTTGCAGTTATGTTTGTGGCACATCTGGTCTCAGACTAGTAACCAGCTAGTGATAAAAAAAAAACTTTGCATTAAAAATCCAATTGCCAAGGTTATTTACTAAAGTGAGAATTTTAAAGTGAATTTCAAATTTAAGGCCAGAGTAGCTGAACTGAAAGCATTGTTGACTTAGACATTTTTTCCAGTTCAGCTATTTTGACCTTAAAGGACCACTCTAAGGACCCAGACCACTTCAGCTTAATGAAGTGGTCTGGGTGCCAGGTCCAGCTAGGGTAAACCCATTTTTTTTTTTTTATAAACATAGCATTTTAGTTTATAAATAGGTTAATCCAACCTCTAAAGCCTCTAGTGGCTGTCTCATTGACAGCCGCTAGAGGCGCTTGCGTGATTCTCACTGTGACAATCACAGTGAGAACACGCAAGCGTTCATAGGAAAGCATTGTCGCGCATGCGCATTCAGCCGAAAGGGAGGAGAGGAGGAGGATCAGAGGCGGAGAGCTCCCCGCCCGGCGCTGGAGAAAGGTAAGTTTTAACCCCTTTCCTCTCCCCAAAGCCCGGCAGGAGGGGGACCCTGAACGAGTATGTTTTCCTGGCACTATAGTGGTCCTTTAAATTCGAAATTCACTTTGACACTTTAGTGAATAACTCTGTTTATGTTCCCATAAGAATTAGGAGTTAAGTGCATAAAAGGCAGGGGCCTGGTCGGGCGCTGTGGCGCTTTAACAGCGCGACCAGGCCCCTTGCTTATCGGCAGCCGGCTGGGAGGAAGTGACAGCCGCGCGTCACTTCCTCCCATAGACACAGGAGCCGGGGAGGAAGGAGGACCGGCTGTTCCGGAGGGGGCCAGGACAGGAGAGAGGGAGAGCTTATTTCCCAGCCAGCCCACTGGACCCCAGGGAAGCCACCCTCCTTGAAAAGGTAAGAAACTGGAGGGTGGTTATCAAATTTTGCATGAGTGTCTGAGTGTGTGTGTGTGTGTCAGTATGTATGTCTCTGTGTGTGTGAGTCTGTCAGTGTCTGTGTGGTTAAGTGTGTGTCAATATGTATGTATGTCTGTCAGTGTCTGTGTGTATGTGTGTTTCAGTATGTAGGCCTGTGTGTATGTGTGCCAGTATGTCTGTCAGTGTATCAGTATGTCTCTGTGTGTGTGTGTGTGTGTGTGAATCTGTCAGTGTCTGTGTGGTTCAGTATGTCTGTGTGTTTCAGTATGACTGTCTGTGTGTGTTTCTGTGTCAGTACATCTGTCAGTATGTGTCTGTATGTTGTCCATGTGTGTTTATGTGTCAGTGTGTATATATGTGTGTGTATTTGTATATAGTCAGTGTGTATCTGTATGTGTCAGTGTTTGTATCTGTATATCTGCATGTGTGTCAGGTTGAGTATCTGTGTGTGTTTTTATGTGTGTCAGCGTGTGTCAGTGTATCTATATATGTAGTTTCTGTGTATCTGTATGTTCTTGTTGTGTGTATGTGGGTATCTATATGCGGTCAGTGTGTATCCCCATGTGTATCAGGTAGTGTATTTGTGTGTCTGTTTGTGTAGCTATATGTAGTCAGTGTATGTATCTGCGTGTGTGTATCTGTATGCATTGTATGTTCTCATTGTATCAATGTGTGTATCTATTTGCGGTCAGTGTCTGTATCTGTGTGCTATTGTTTGTATCTGTTTGTGTATCTGCATGTGTGTTAGTGATGGTATCTGTGTGTCTGTGTATCTTTATGTGTGTCAGTGTGTGTATCTGTATGTTCTCATTGTGTGTATCAGTGTATCTATGTAGCGGAGATGCAATATTTCCCAGGTTATCTCCGCTTATAATCCAAGTGAGGCTCAGGAACAAGTAAATTGTAAATCCACAGGCAGGGTTTCCAGCAGGCAAAATAACAGCAGTATCCCCACAGCAATCCCAATAACTGGACGACACACAGTTTCAGGAGCAGAACTGAAAGCTTTATTCCACACTGGCCTTTTAAAGCA